TTGTAACAAAAAAAAAAAAATAGATGCAACGTTTAATCTTTACTTCAAAATTAATCTTCTCAAAAAGGATTTGCAAACCACAAGTTCTTGCTAATTTCATTCACCCAGAAATGGTATAAGAAATAACAAAATAAATACGTGATAATGATCTAATTATGCCCTATAAATTATTAATTTCACACCAAGTTTTCCAACTAGATCAAAACACTCTTGACTCACGTTGCATCTTCCTTTAATTTCTAAATACTTCAATTTACCGCCATCATTTACACACTTCTTCAAGGAAGGCTCCAAAGTTTCAATATTTATAAAATCAACCTTTCTAAACTGCATGATTTGTAACCTTTTTGGAATTACATTCTCAAGGTAACCTTCAATTTTTCCAATAGGGATAATACTAAGGTAAACTAGTTTAATACATGAAGTAAATATAGGGACCAACTCTGTTTGACGGATTTGAGTAAGGGTTAAATGAGTTAATGAGTGCAAGTAAAGTGGAATTTGGTCGTATATTTGAGTAACATTGTAATCAAAGGCATCCACCCTGTCATAATCTATAACTAATCGAGTCAACGTAAGTGAAGCGGATTGAATTAATTTAATTATAAAGCTAATTGACATATCCTCAATATAGAATCCAATAAATTCAAATTCTTCAATCTTTGGTAAATTCCTTGTCCAAGCATTCAATTTAATATTAAATTGACGACACCAAAATAGCTTCAGCTTTCTAATATTTTTGAGTAGTCCCAGTAATTCGATGGCTTTTCCATCTACATTTTTGAAGGATACATTTCTTAACTCTAATACTTGTAAACTATCCTTTTGAGCAGATAATGAATTGATTACGATATTGTATTCACCATTGTTAGAATTCGCAGCCGAATGATAATCTGACAAGATGAAGTGTTGCAACCTATTTTGCAAAGGAATGAATTTTGATAATAAAATTGCTTCAACGATGTCGCTGCAAAGTAAGTTTATACTACGAATATTGTCAAGTTTTGAATAAAAGTGCATTGGAATATTACTATAACAACTTTTTAAAGGCAAACCATGACAAGATTTACCATGATAATATAATTCTTTTAAATTGTCCAATTTCGGAGATAATAATTCGATCATATCATCGAATAATGAAACTTCTATCTTGTATGGGAACTCCAGTATCGTCAAATTATTGCAATGTTTGCAT